CGGGAGTTGGAGGTTGCTGTGAGCTGTAATGCCACGGCACTCTACCCAGGGGGACAGCTTGAGGCTCTGTCTCAAAAAAAAAAAAAAAAAAAAACTTTTTTGTCAGCAGATAGGACATGACCAAATATGTTTCATAGCATCACACCCGATGGCATTACTTCAGATAAAAAATAACTCTTTATTGGGAAATTAACTGCAACTGGACTAGAGGGGTTGAGAATAAATAGCTAGTAGCTATAAATAGCTAGTAGGAAGCCATAGATTGGGTTTCCTGAGTACACTGTTGCTCTTATAACTGGACATGTCATTTAGCCTGGAAGCCATGGCAATGGAGCTATTATAAGAGATAACTAGTATGTGGAGAAGGTTAGGGTTTCTAAACCATCTGATCTCTGTGTTCAGCTGTATAGTTTTATTCCTGGGCATCTGAGCATTCACAGGGGAGGGCATTTGGGCTAAGAGCTCTGGTTGCTCTGTGAAGCCCTCCTGCTAGAGAAACCTGCCTGTTACTACCCATTGGCACACTGATGTTCCTATCTCCTATCCCGTACAGCTGAGTAAACTGGTGCCTGATGTGGCTGATTTCAGCCTTGTGGGTGCAACATGTCTCTTTGAAGAAAGATCACCAAGTGTGGACATGAGAGGACGAGATCCAGAGCATAAACAGGTGGCTTAACTGGTCTTTGATAAGAATTAGGGCACTTTGAGGATTGAGTTCTTGTTTGATGGTGACAAGGAAAACAGACCTTTCTCCTTCTGCCTCAGTTAGCTGCCAAGGCCACAGACCCTCTGGCTTCCTGTTCTTGTCTCATGATTGATGAGCTACCGTTAGGACTGTTTGTCATAATTGATTACCTATGTTTAGAATGGTTTGTTCTAGCTCTGTATGCCCTGAATAGCTTGCTCTATCAGCTCCCAGCAGAACTGATTTCTCCTCTCTGGGCCACATGGGCCCTGTTCTACATCTGTCATTGTTCCTGTAAGGCAGGCCCCCTTCCGCCCTCCCTGTCATCTACCAGTCTGTAAGTGATGTTTTTCTTTCTCTATCAAACTGAAGCTCTTTGAGATCAAGAGGCATTTTTTTTTTACTAGTCTTTATAACAGGACTTACCAGTTTGGTTTCTATTCAATATATGTTGAATGAATAAATTTCTAGGGTAAGGTATTTCTAAGCCTGTCTGTTTCTCCTATAAAGTTTAAAATAATTTTAGTCATATAAATCCTTTATGTGATGTACTATGACAAATTATGACAAGTGAATAGCGTAAGAACAGTTATATAGAGAAAGGCAGATGTTGAAGCCAGACTGGGTGGATTTGAATCCCTCTTTCTAGGCTGTTTGACCTGGGCTAATTACTTTAGGCTCCATGCTCCTCATGTTCCTGAGCTGTCAAGTTTCTCCTAGGGTGGCGGTAAGGATCAAAATCTTCAGTGCATGTAAAGGACTTAGAACAGGCACAGAATAAGCCCTCCATGTGCTGAGGCATCACATCCCAGTCCTCTTGGATGATCCCTTTGTGTTAAAGAGGATTGTGCTGTTACAGGAATCACTGACTTTCAAGGATGTGTTTGTGGACTTCACCCTGGAGGAGTGGCAGCAACTGGACTCTGCTCAGAAGAACCTCTACAGGGATGTCATGCTTGAGAACTACAGCCACTTGGTGTCTGTGGGTGAGGGACCACTGTACAGTGTGATGTAGAGTGCACCCAGTAGTGTCTCCCTTTCTGAGCTGCTGTGGGCTCAGGGACATTGGAAACTCTCTATGAGTTTGGGCTAAGGGCCCTCTGTCAAGTATTCATAGTCCCATTTGGATGCTGGACAGGATGCTTGTGTCTTCACCTGCTATGTACTGAGGGGCAGATACCTGTGTGCATGGGGCAGTCACTGAGACTGGGCCATCTTTAGCCTCTGGGGAAGGGTTTCAGTTCTAGAGTTTCTTTTTTAAAAAAATTTTTTTTTGCAGTTTTTGGCTCGGGCCAGGTTTGAACCTGCCACCTACAGTATATGGGGCAGCGCCCTACTCCTTGAGCCATAGGCACCGCCCTGTTCTAGGGTTTCTTTAGCATTCATGACAAAGTCCTATGCCATTTTCTCTGAACAGGGTATCTAGTCACCAAACCAGATGGGATCTTCAGGTTGGGACCAGAAGAGTCTGGGATGACAGACAGAGGAACTCCAGTGCTGAGCTGTCCAGGTGAGTCAGCCAAGGGAAAAGGGAACTAGCTTGGTTGGTAAGGGTTGGCCTCTGGTGGGTGCCCAGGAGCCATTCTTAGAGCCCCCAAGACATGTGAACACACCTCAGGTCTGATGACATGCTCTGTTATATACATATGAGGCTTCCTGCTGGCAGTCTTTTCCAATCACTGTCACTGACACTGACCATTCTGTTTTTTTTTCTTTTTTTGAAACAGAGTCGCAAGCTGTCCCCCTGGGTAGAGTGCCCTGGCATCACAGCTCACAGCAACCTCCAACTCCTGGGCTCAAGTGAGTCTCCTGCCTCAGCCTCCCAAGTAGCTGGGACCACAGGC